TATTAATCTCATCCAAAAACACTGTCACAGAAATATCCAGAATAATGTCTGCCCGCACATCCAGACACTGTGGCCCAGTCAAGTTGACACATAAAATTAACCATCACACCACATCCCTTTAATTTGGCCAGATTTGATCTTCAAACTCTCTCTCAGTGGCAGGACAGCTGCTGGAATCTCTGCCCAGCTCTTTTTAGCCTTCCAACTGTGGTCCTCCACTGAGCGCCTTGGCAATTTTACCCTGCGCATGCCCAGTTTAGAAGTCAGCCAAGGATGTAAGGGAAATTTTAAAGAAGATTGTGGGGCTCCACCTCTAAGGCTGCTTCCTTTAGGGGATTGTTCTCCTAAATTTGTGGCCACTATGACAGCTTCAAATCCCAATCTTTGTCTTCCCATCCCAGTAAGACAGCCACTTTCTGCTTAAACTCTTCTATTGCCCTGTTCGCCAAGTAGACTGGATGTGCCCTCTGGAGCAGAGCCGGGTAAACGAGGAGGCTACCTACTTCTTCCTAGGGTCAGGCTTCCTCCTCCATCTGCTGTAGGGGGCTCTGTGGTGCCTTTCCATTTGTTATTACTTTATTGTATTTTGTACTGAGTTTATAATATTATTAGGAGAAGGGTTTGAATGATACACTATTCTGTTATTTCCAGCTTCAGAATCCCTCAGGATTTTTGTTTTGTTTTGTTTTGTTTTGTTTTCATATTTTAACATTTCCAAGCAAAGAAATATTTTTGTACTAGTCTTTTCAAAATTTTCAGATTTTTATTTGACTGGGGTCAGTAAATGTAGAGCACATAATCTCAATCCTTTATAATCTGTTGAGATTATTTTTGCTTCTCTGTGGCCTAATTGAAGATCCCAACTTGACATGTTGATGCTTGGAGAGCTGGTTTAAAACTTCCCGCTCTTTCCCTCTGTGGGTACCATGCTTTATTTTTATTTCAGAGCTATGTCGTCAGGTACACAAAGCTTCATGATGCTTCTAATATCACTGTCAAATATCCTTCTCTGTCTTTTGTCAAACTTTTTACCTGAATTCAGTTTTTTCCCTGATATTACTCTTTTTACATCTGTCATATTTTTTGTTAGCATTTGCCTGGTATAACTTTTTTCATCCCTTTATTTTTAATCTTCTTGTAGTTTTTGCTTTAGTTATATTTATAATAGCATGCAGCCGAATTTTTAAGTCAAAATAAATGTTTGTTTTAAATGGGTGAATTTAACTAATTCACATTTTTTAGGTAATTATGCTTATTTTTGCTACCCTGATTTGTTATCTGTTTATGATACTTTCTTGTTTATTCCTCCCCTTCTGACAGCCTCTTCCTCCTCCTCCTGCTTTTTCTCTTTCTCTTTGTTTATTTCCTCCTGCCCTGTGGCTTATAATTGCTTGTAACTGTTTTCCATCCTCCCCTTACCTTTTTTTTTTTTTATTCTAGGACTCTTCTTGAATTTACAGTATACAAATTCAATACTATACTTTTCTGTCAATATTGAGAATTCATCAATATTCTATACTATGTCCCTGAGCAATATAGTGCTCTTACATTTGTCCCTTCTTTTTCTCTCGTATGACCACCCATACTGAGGTCAGGTGGAATTCCGATGTATAGTAACAGTACCACAATTTTTAAAACAATCATTACTTATTTAGACTTAAATATAAATTTTACTAATTTCTTTGCTCACTGCTACTTTTTTTTAATCTCACATATTCCTCTTGAGTCAGTTTTCATTGTGCTGAAGTTCATCTTCTAGGCATTTTTTTTTCAGAAAGAAGTTTTGGATAGTTTTTGAAGTTTTGAGGTTTTTGATTTCTTTTTCCTCTTCACTTGAATGGTAGTTTGTTTGGGTATCGAATACTACATTGCCTAAACATTTCCCCTGAGAATTTTGAAAATATTGCTTCTCTATCTTCTTTCATTCAGTTCTGCCAATAAGAAGTCTAATTTTAGTCACATTCTCATATTTTTATAGGTCATTGGATTTCTATGTTCTTGGTCCTCTCAAATTTTACTTTGATTTTTCTGGATATAGTCAGTTTTGCATTTATCTCACTAGATCCTTGCTTTTAAGTCAAGTTCTCGTATCTTTCTGCAGCTCTGGTCCGTTTCATTCTCTGTCTTTTGATATGTCCTTTTTTGCTGTTGTTGTTCTGCCTGCTCTCCCCGTCTAGAACATCTAGTAAATGAATATTAGGACTTCTGGGTCTTTCCTTGTGTCTCTGAACTTCTATTTCATATACTCACTTACTATCTTCCTACTCTGCAAAGAAAACAGAATGCACAAATCCAGACAAGCAAACGGCAGAACACTATGTATCACAGAATCCTGCGCCTCCTCCCACACAGCCTAGACCCAGGCACAGGGGTTGTTTTGCCCTTCCTTAGCTTCACTATGATCTTTTCTACTCCTGGCTATTGGCAGACCGGGTTCCAGAATGTTCCACTCTCCTCCCTGACTCAGACTCCTCCCATCCAGGCTGGGAGATCACTCTGCTAGATTTCTCTAGGATCTTCTCTTTTTCTGGGCTCCAACAACACATCTCCAAAGCAATCCTTGCTTACCCCGTTTGCCTGCAGTTTCCCCTACTTAAGGACCACATCTCTGTCCCCTGGTTTTTTTCCCATAGTGTCTGATAATAGGTAACATTGATAGGACATTTAGAAGTTTTGGACACTGTTCAAAGCTGTGCCACATCTAATAACTCATCAGGAAATCCTGGCAACCCTCTGTGGTCACCAGCTCCAGGTGACAGATGAGGAAACTAAGACAAAGTTGAGGGACTAGCTGGAGGTCACCCACAGGGAGTAAGTGACACACAGGAGGGGTTAGAGCTCAGCCATCTTGATGAGAACCCTTGTTCTTAATTCCATCAGCAAGGAGCCCGGTGGTTGTTACAGTGAGCGCACCTACATCTAAAAAAGCTAGGCTTGGACACGCAGATACAGTTTAAACGGATGAAGTGTCCACAAAGCCTGGACCGAGAAAGATTTCTCCTGTCCTATCATGTCTGATATTCCTCCTGAGATCAGCCTTTTCCTCACGACCTCAGCCCCACTTCTGCCCAGCCTGAATGAGCGCAGATCAAGGCCTGATGGGGAGGTAGGAGGCATCAAGGCCACCTGACTTCCCAGGGCTGACGGAGGTGAGGGGAGCATCATCACATCAGCGGCGGGCGGAGTCGCCTGGACGGTGGGGCAGAGCCCTCAGAACATCTCCCCTTGGGATGAGGCTGCTGGGGACGCAGAGCCGAGCCCTTGCTGCTGGCTGCAAACGCCCCATCAGAATATGCTTAGGGTAATCCTTGGATGTGGTTTTAATTCTTTGTTGGTTGGTCAACTGCTGTGCTTGACTCACAATTTGTTGCCGGTGATTAAGAACCATCTCCTGATTTAAACTCAGGAAAGAACAACAACAACAAAAAAATCAGAAACCCATTGAAAGACTTCCTTATGGGCCTTTTTTTTTCTTTTTTTTTTTTTTTTTTGCTAAGAAAATACTGCGAGCTCTGACCCACTTCCCTGGTGGCCTACATGCCGGTGTCCTGAGAGCTTCACATGCATCACCTTATTTAATGCTGACAAAGATCCCACAGGGAAGGTACAGCTATTACATTTTACAAATGAGGAAACTGAGGCGCAGCAAAGGTAAATAATGTGTCCTGCTCACAAAGCAGCATTTGGCTTCATAGCCTACATATTCTACGCCACACAGGGGGCCATCTCAAACCCATCCATCCTCTGCATCTTTGCTGCCAGCAGGCACTCCACCCCCAGCCACGCTCATCCTTTGCTTGGACTGGGGCAAGGACACCGAGCATGGCCCTAGGGGTTTGTAGCGTGATATTGACATGTCATGCCTCCTTTGAAGATCAGAATAACTCTGATACTTTAATCTCCATCTGCCTAACTTGTTTTCTACTTCTCAGCTGTTTCCAAACTTGGATGATGGAAAGGACCATTATTTACTCACTTATTCAACCCCCCATGTATTCTATGATAGACTATATCAGAATTCTATGATATGTATACTTTTAACACAAAGAGATTACATACATGTATTTATTTAATTTTTATGTGTTGATTTTGCTCTATAGATTCAATGTGAATATGTTTCTAATTCATAGATCTAGAGATTAATACCTATTTGGAATTTGATGATCTTGCCAGATAATCCTCTTACATCTCACCGTCTCCTCCAGGTGCTGAGTCTTGGAGGCAGCAAACCACCACTCTGCCTTCAGATCCCGGCAGGCTGCTGCCATCTGTGGCTTGATCCACCCATGTAGGGATGGCTTTTCCTCCTGGTAAGTGTCATCTGTCCTTTCCCCTTTGGGCAGAGTGTTCTGCCTGTTGAGATGGGCTGTCTGGGATCTGTATGAGTTCTGAGGGCCCCAAGGCCTACTGGACTGGAAGGGCAGGGTTTATCCGAGCCTCTGGCCTCTGCTAGCATCCTTCCAAACCATGAGGTGGGGCAGTGAGAATGGACCTCACTCAAGACAGTGCACACACAGACACAATGATTTCTTGTGGATGCTTCAAAACCACATCCAAGAGCCCTTGCCCATTGGCACCTCTATCCCCGGAAACTGATCCCATGGAGTGGGGCTGTTGAAAGAGGCATCAGAGAGTTTCCAGTAGGACTGCCACAGAAAGAAGTCACTGAGCTTGGATATGGGGTGTCAGCCAAGGAGACCAACTGCGTAGACCTCCCCAACCCATTCCGGCTCCCGCAGCATGTCTGCCTCTACAAGCTGAAGACCCTGGTCTTCAGACACTGATTCTTCACACAGGGGACCTTTTGTGGAGCTCAAACAAAGCCAGAGCCTGGCAGTGGTGCTGGGAAAATGTGCCATGCATGACGTGGGGTCGGGGAGAGTACCCCACGTTTTCTTGTGTCTATTGAAATTAAAATGATTCCAGAGAACCCAGAAGCATTCACCTTCCATTCACAACCAGATGTCTTAATTAAAACGATGCTAAAGGAAGCAAATCAATTAACAGATACCTTACAAGATGGTTTATTCTATCTTCCACACAGAAAATTGCTGACGAGTATCACATTACCACTTTAGGTTATCAGTTAACAGAGGCCGCTAATGAACTACATTGTTATCAAGTCAGACAAAAGATGCCCCGGGAATCCAGGCAAATTATTATAACACAGCACTTTGTTTTAAAAGATAGCTCAGCTCTCATCGCATACAAGGAGAGTAATCTAAGGGGAACCAGTCCGCACAGCCACTCAGATTTCTGTTGAATTAACAGGCCAACAGTGTTCCATAACGCAGCCTGGAGATACAAGGTTAATATTACACGGAGAGAAACATGAGTGGGGTCTGGGCCACAGAGCCTTAGGTTTACGGCAATAATAAAAAGATGTGAGTTTCCTAAGTCTCTGCCAGTTGCATCACCGTGATCAGGTATGCACATTGTAATAGTCACCACAAAATCTAAAAGCAGATCAGTAATCCCTTGCATTTGTACAGCTCTCTACAAGGCAGGCGTCTGCTTTGTCCTTTAATCCTTTGTTGGCTCCACCGTTTGCAGAGCCGACATCCTCCCACTCCAGCCATTTCATCCTTTGGAAGGTCTATCTTTCATTCGCAGGGATGAAGACTGACCCATGGTTGCCATGTTTCAGGGCCCCTGAATTTTGACAAGGAGATTCTTCTGGCAGCTAGGAAAGCGAGGTCAGCAGTTCTGGAAAATGCTGCCCACCTGTTAGTAAGATGGTGACTCTAAAGAGACTGTCGCCCTGAGTTTGCTTCTTACTCCATGAGCCATTTGCCTCAGGTAGATTCCATTGCCATGGACACAACGCCATCACGGAGCGTGACCAGCTCCGACATGGGAACCAGGATAGGCAGGGAAGATTTCCTGGCTTCCATCTTTTTTCACTGCTGGAAGGAGTGCTCATGCAACCCTCTATGCCCTCAGCTTCTTGCAGAAGAGAAGCAATATTTTCCTTTGAGACAGAAGCACTGTCATAGATTCTGTTCCTTCTATTATTTGCCCTGGATTTTGAGTTCCATGCAAAGGTCCATCACCAGCTTTGGATGCTTAAATTCAAGTCTCCAAGACTGCAATCTTGGGCAGCAGTCCAGGCTGCCGATCCCCTCCCGAAGAGGTTGCTCACTCAGAGCTCAATCACTGGTGCATTTCTGGAAAGGAAAAGAACCATCTGGGAGACTTACTGACAGAGTGACTGTGTTCTAACTAACCATGGCGTACGCCTAGGCAACCCACACAGTTAAACGGGTATGAAAGAGCCCATCAGCCAATCCTAGCAAAGTGGAACAGGTCCTCGTGCAACATAGAAAGGGACCTGAAGACCAGTGGCTCCAGGTGAAGGGGAGAGTTTTTCAGATCGTGCGCAACCTAGAGGTTTTTTCTGCCAGATCAAAGCCTCACAACTTCATCCACTTTGGTGACAAAAAGGGAAGAAGTCATTCCCTTGCCTGATCTTGACATTGATCTTGGCATTCCGTTGGCATTGATCTGAGCAGGTGCTACAAGGAACAAGGTAGACAGACCTACGAGAATGTAACTAGAAACTGATATCTTCACGTCTGAACTATATGCTGTTACAGAGGGTGAGACTTCTCCGTACTTAGTGGATCAGTTTTGATGGGAGGGAATGGCAGCATAGACATACATTAAAAATTAGGAACACAGAAGAAAAGATGGACACCAAACCAGATCCTGATACAGAAAATCTTGAGCTGAAAGTCAGGCAGAGAACCTGCTGTGGCCACTCTTGGCCAAGGGTGTCACCAACACTTTCATGTGGAGATCAAATTCACACCAACAATTCATGGCAGTTTCACATCAACATTATCCACAGATCTAACAGCCTGGCACATTTATGCTGACACTGCATACTTGTTTATGCCATTTCACTGTGCATCCTCAGTCCCAATATCTTGACATCTAACATCTCCCCATGAGAGAAGAGGCAGAAACAGCGGACAGACAGGGCAGGATGAAGCATCAATGGGACGAGCCAAGTCAACATCCATAAAAAGGACAGCATATGCATAGTGAACCCCCCATGTGGAGGATGAAGGGCTCAGGTTAGGGTCAGGGTTACAAAACTTGATGGCAGCAAAGCCGACATGGAAGACAAGCAAGGCAAAGATGGTGAGAGAGAGGAGGAAGAAAGGATTCCAAGCCTCAAATGTGATCAGGGTTTTGTGTTTCTCCCTTAGAGGATGGTGGGTCCAGAAAAACAAAGTTTGAGTTGGCTGCTGTAGAGGTCCGGGGGCTCAACAGAAAGTTCATCCCTCCTATTATCTTTACAAAGTCCTGAGTTAAAAGGTTCCCTTTGGGTGTTGCTAAGGAGAAGATCTAAAGTATCTGGAATAGCCAGCATTTGCACTTGAGATACTGATGCCCAGAGAAGATGGGAAGACCAGGAGAGCAGCTGCGTCCCACCCCTGATGTCCCTGAGCTGGGAAGTGGCACCCGTGAGCTACCCCACTGAGGAACTGTTCTCTGACAGGACTGAGATTCCTCTACAGATGGGTGCGCCACCAGCCCCTAGAGAACCAGACACAATCTACAGGGAAAGATTAGCTGGGCAGATGCTAGGACAGCACCTGCTGGACGGACTAGTAAGTGAATCAGGCTGCGGACCTGGGCTGGGTATCAAGAGAAGGAGAAAGAGACTTTTGGAGACTCTGGGATTATAGTGGCTGCTTACACCCAAATCTTCCACCCCATCCTCCAAAAATCATACAGACCAACAAGAAGAGAAGGAGAAAATTAAACTTAACTGGTAACAAGGGTGCCTATATGTCCTCGTTTGCCTGGGACCATTCCTGGGTAGATCTGCTGAGGATAAGTTCATGCCTGCTAATGCTGAAAGTCTCTTGACCAAATCCCACACACATTCCTGACTTTGAAAACTCAGTAAAATAGGAATTGATGAATATCTCCTTAACATGATGAAAACATGTGTACATAGTTCTAAAGTTAACACCTCACTTAATGAAAACCACTAGTGGATTTTCTACCAAGATCAGGAACATGACAGGGATACTCACACTGTATTGGTGGTTTTAGCCAATGCAGTCAGAGAGGAGGAAACAATTAGAGACTTAAGAATTAGGAGAGAAGATCTATAATTTGGCAGATGACATGATATGATGAAAACTCAAGGAGCTCCAGAAGAAAACAAACAAAATTATAAAAGCATTCAATAAGGCAGCTGCTATCATGTTAATACAGCCAAAAAAAAAATTCATAGGCAATCTATTACCAAGTAGGAGACATAATGGGACGTTCCATTTACAAAAGAAACAAAACCATAAAATATTTAGGAATAAACTTGACCAGAAATGTGAAAAATCCATAAGGATAAAATATGGAAGCTCTCCTAAGACACAAAAAAAACAGACTTGTAAAATACGTATATTTCTTGTCCACGAAGGACTGCTTGCTGTCATAAAGAAGTCAATCGTCTTCAAACTAATACGTGAACGTAATGCAATCCCAATGAAAACACTAAGATGTTTGTTTCTGTAGCTAGATTCTGAAACTGACTGTAAAGCTCGTATGGAAAAACAAACACACAAGAACAGCTAGAAGAGAAAACCAGGGTGCGTGGGAAGCAGCCCCGGCAGGTAACAGGCTTTCTTGATGCCACCACGGGAGTGTGGTAATAGCACGTGAATAATCACAAATACCATCGGAGAATAATACAAAATCTAGAAATAGTCCAAGTATACATGGAAATTTAGAACAGGAGAAAGATGTCAAATAAAACGCTGGGGAAAGTAGGGTGTTTTAAAAGTGATTTTGAAATAAGTGGATTGCTATTTGGGAAAAAAATAAAATTGGATCTATGTCTCATACCACACACCACACCAAATGAATCAAAGATCCAAATAAAAATAAACCCATGTGAGAGCCAGAATTTTATATATATATATATATATATGTATGTATATTTATTTATTTATTTATATTTATATATACATAGGTGTATATATAAATATTTATCTAATTTTATAAAAATTATACATATGCAAAAAATTTTTAATTAAATATAGTTTTGTAAAAGGAACACAGGAAGGATGAAGTGGGAATATTGAGATTAATCACGTCAAAGCAGGGGGTGGGAGCAGGGTGGAGAGGACAGAATGAGAGTAAAATGTCTCTGAGTTTACCTGTTTACGTTTTTAATTTTGAACCAGATACATGATTTACATATGCGAAAATAAAATTAAACTCAAAGGATTAAGAAAGGAAACATAAAATAGCATATGCACTGAAACAAACGTCTCTCATTCTGTATCAAGTTGATAGCATAACCACACTGAGAGAATAAGTCAATTTGAACACAAAGCTCTGTTCACATGGAGGGCTCAGTTCTAAGAACAAAAAGAAATTTTTAAGCGAGCTTGTAGTTGTATAGTGTTGTAATTCTGGAAGTATGTATTTGGTGCATATTATAGGATGGAGCAAATGGGTAAAAATATTTATACAGTTGGGTAATAGGGTGTTCACTTTAGAGGAAGCAAAGTAGAAATACAAAATAAGAACTCTTAAGGAGACACTTATGGTATTGAGTTTTTAATTTAAATATACGTTTGCTATAGCAGCACTGTTTACAATAGCCAAGACGTGGAAACAACC